GTTTTAACCAATACAAAAACTGCCTACTTTCAATCTCAAGTCGAGAAATGTGGAAGTGACCAACGGCTGTTGTTTTCTTTAATGAACAAACTTTGCGGTAAAAGTAAAGGAACTCTCTTACCGTCCACACCCTCTGATGTTGAATTAGCACAAGCATTTAACAAGATGTGTTAAGTGAGCGAGGATTACACAGGTAGAAAGATGGCAACGTATATCCATTAACAAGAAGCTTACCAGGCGCTCAAACAACACTGCAGCCTACCGTAGTCTAATAGATTGTTTTTCAACGTTTTTTTTTTTCAATTTTCCTGGTCTGCAAGTTTTTGTATCTTGTTTTCAAACACTTTAATCATAATAATGAATAGATTAGCTGCACGTAGTTTTCAAGTTAGACATAAATTTAGACCTTTTCTAAATGAGTTTAGCCTAGGCCTAGACCTGAATGCCATTGGTTTGTGTAGCAGCCATTGTTGTCCCTTTAGGGCTAACAATAGCATTTTCTGCCCATTGAGCAAGCCTACACTTATTAAGCCTAGACTAGACAGTGGTTTTCGCCATTATTGTAAACCTTCTTCAAGGTTAATTATTTACAGTAAAAATTCAATAATTGCTCTGAAGCCTAAGATTAAGCCTAAGGTGTTGCTCGATCCATTAGTTTTTAAGAATAATAAAGATTTGGGTATTCTTCGCCCTACAAGGGGATGCCGTGGAGGTAAACGTTACAAACAAATCATGGCTGATACGTCAGAGTCTGACGATACATTATTACGTCATTGCCCTTTAAACAAGCAAAACTGCTCCACTTGTTCAACAAACAAACTGCAAACTTTTTAATATGGGAATTTGGAATAAGAGTACACCTTTCTCTCAATATATTGTTGATAATGACATTGATATGATGCTCGTAACCGAGACGTGGCTTGGTGAAAATGATGACGCCATTGTTTCTGCTTGCGAGCCAGCCAAACATAAATTATTTTCGTTTCCTAGAGTCAATCGTAGAGGTGGAGGAGTTGCAGTTGTGACAAAACTGTCTCTCAATTGTTGTAAACTGAATGAGTTTACATCCTTTGAAGCTTGTAAAGCAGAGTTTACATTCCATAATAAAAAAGTGATTATTGTCACTATTTATAGACCACCACCCGCACCTACCTCTCTGTTTTTGTTTTTTTTTTTTGGAATTTTCCCAATTGGTTGAGCGTTTTTTACTTCTTCCCAACCTTATTATTGTTGGCGATCTGAACATCCACATGGATGATACCAGTAACCACCACACAAACCGTGTTGTAGAAATGCTTGAATCATTTAACCTTGTGCAGTTAGTGAGTCAGTCTACACATGTACATGACCATACTCTGAATCTTGTGATTACTAACAATCAGAACCTCATACAAAATTGTCATGTACACCAGTACCACTTATCTGATCATTACATTGTTCACGCTCAACTTGATATAACCAAACCATTAAATTATAAGAAGAAGGTTTTATTCCGTAACTTTAAGAACATCGAAAATAGTGTTCTTACAACCTTATTTTCTGTAGCATTTTCTGGCTTCGGCAAAAATGTCAACAACCAAGATGTTAATTCTATGGTATCTGCATATAACAGAACCCTTAATTCAATTCAAAATGAAGTTGCACCGGAGAAAATGAAAGTTGCTACCATGAGACAAATGTCTCGATGGTACAACGATAATTGTCGTATTGAAAAAAGAAAGTGTCGCGTATTAGAGCGTAAATGGATCAAGTCTTGTGATTCTGTTGATAAAACAGCTTTCAAGAAGCAATGTGCAAAATATCACTCTGTTTTAACCAATTATACAAAAACTGCCTACTTTCAATCTCAAGTCGAGAAATGTGGAATTGACCAACGGCTGTTGTTTTCTTTAATGAACAAACTTTGCGGTAAAAGTAAAGAAACTCTCTTACCGTCCACACCCTCTGATGTTGAATTAGCACAAGCATTTAACACATACTTTCACAATAAAATTAAAACTTTTAGAGCATCTCTACCAGTCATATCGGCTGACGCTTTCTCAGTGCCGGATGCTGACGGTTTTGAAATTAGTAACTTTACAGAACTAGAAGAAAATGAAATATTAAACATTGTAAAAACAGTTTCATCGAAGACATGCTCATTAGATCCTTTCCCTACAAAATATATTATCGAAAATATTACAGTTTTCCTACCTCTGTTTTGTCAGATTGTTAATTCTTCCTTTTCATCTGGCACTTTCCCTGATGACTTAAAAGTGGGGATAAACCACAATGAACTTGCTAATTTTAGACCGATTTCTAACACTCCTTTCCTCTCTAAACTTATACACATCTAGATGTGTATAAGAGACAGGTACAACACCTTTCTCTCAATATATTGTTGATAATGACATTGATATGATGCTCGTAACCGAGACGTGGCTTCGTGAGAATGATGACGCCATTGTTTCTGCTTGCGAGCCAGCCAAAACATAAATTATTTTCGTTTCCTAGAGTCAATCGTAGAGGTGGAGGAGTTGCAGTTGTGACAAAACTGTCTCCCAATTGTTGTAAACTGAATGAGTTTACATCCTTTGAAGCTTGTGAAGCAGAGTTTACATTCCATGGTTTTTGTATTCTGGCTGTTTTTTTAGATCTAAGTGCTGCTTTTGACACGATTGATCACAAAATACTCATTCACAGACTTGCATCTCTTGGAATTGGTGGATCTGCTCTTACATGGTTCACATCTTATCTTACATCTAGAAAGCAACAGGTTCGCATTAGAAATAGCTCTTCAGCGTGCATTAATGTAGAGAGTGGTGTCCCTCAGGGGTCAATTCTCGGCCCATTTTATTTCTTATTTACGTCTCTCCTTTGAGCAAAATCATTAGCAGTCATGGAGTTCGATATCATGCCTACGCCGATGACACTCAACTCTAGCTTAGCTTCCATGTCAACCACTGGTCTGAAGCCAAGAAAACCATTGAAGCATGTGTTTGTGATGTTCAGTCCTGGTTGTCACAAAACATGCTCTTCTTTAATCCTTGTACGACTGAAGTTATCTATTTTCATTCAAAGTACCTTAGAAGACCACCTCCGATTAATGGTGTTGTAGTTGGTAACACAATGTCCTACCATCTTCCAAAGTCCGTAATATAGGGGTTGTTTTTGATCCTATAATGATCCTGCACAACAAGACACCTAAATACATTTCTCAACTTCTAACGTCACGTTCTGTAACTTGTAGTAGGTCTATGAGATCAACGACCAATAGATTCATACTATCCGTTCCAGCATCGCGACTCAAAACTTATGGTGATAGGGCTTTTTCTGTCGGTGCACCAAGACTTTGGAACACCCTACCAGCCTCTATCCGTGAATCAACTTCCGTTCATACATTTAAGAAGAAACTTAAAACCCACCTTTTTTAAGTTTATCTTTTTACAATTTTTGTAGTTTAAGAATATTTAAGTGTTTTGTTTTTTGTTCATTAAAGTCGCAACTCCCTCACTTGAGCCGGCGTCGCCACCTTAGCAGTGCACGGTAGTAGAGCCGAGGCTTATCCAAGGCGGAAGCTACCGGAGCCCAGCATACTGTCGCCGGAGTACCTGCGTGTACGCGGTAGTGGTGGTGACGCCGTCTCAACAACAGGAGTGCGCATTTTTCATGTTGCTGCTTGGTTTTTTTCCATTCTTGGTCTGCCTGTTTTTGAAGGCTTAATTTATCAATTATTTATTTATTTAATTATTTATTTTCTATTTGTTTATTTATTTACTTTATTCATTTATTTATATTTATTTAACTTAAAATAAATTTAACTTAAATAAAATAAAAAATATTCTGATTAATATAGGCTCTTTAATATAAGATATAATATAATTTAATTTCTTTTAAATTCTTTGTCCTACCTTTTTTTCGGCGCCTTGAGACGATTTTATTGTGGAAGGCGCACTACAAATATCCCACCATTACCATTACCATTAACAGATTTTGAGTTCAAACACTGTACATTAGTAAGGTATTTTGTAATAACTTGGGATTGGATCTTTCTATATTCGCGTTTATAGGAGGCAGCTGACAATACAACTGAGATTGGTCTCCGAATGTGTTTACCGCCTCTACGCCCCCGTTTCCTTCTACTGGCTAAATGTGAAATTAACTTAATGGTTTTCTACGAAAGCCTATTAGGGCCACTGAAATATATATTTTTATGTCGTAATTACGACTTATTATGTCGAAATTTCGACATAATAAGTCGAAATTTCGACATACGTATGTCGTAATTACGACTTACGTATGTCGAAATTTCGACATAAGTCGTAATTACGACTTACGTATGTCGAAATTTCGACATAATAAGTCGTAGTTACGACATACGTATGTCGTAATTTCGACATATTTATGTCGTAATTACGACATAGGCTTGGGCCACTGTACGTATTGTTTCTCGTCAGCTTCACTTATGTGTACGATTGAAAAGTTGTGACTTGCAGTTGAGTGATATTTTAATTTTGAATTTCATATTTTCAGTTATAATTTCAAAATTCTGAATATATACACATGTCCCCAAAAGAGCAAATAGCTAAAAAGTACATTTTAAAAAATGTGTAAGTTGAGTGGGTTTTTCATGACAGGGCAGATTTAAATTAAATATAAAAATACTGTTTTAATAATGATAATATAAATAATAACTAGAATTACTCCTTTTACGCTACGTA